GTGTGTGTGAGTATGGTGTGTGTGTGGTCAGCCTTTTCAGGCAATTTCTGGGGATCAAACCCAGGCCTTGATGCTTATAAGGCAAGTGCTTTACCAGCCTTGATCTTTATTCTTAGATCCTTCTTATAGCAACTTTGTAATGCTTTGATTTATGTAAGTAAAATGTATTTGGAACATAATGGATCAATAATAAATTAATGAATAGTCCACTAAGAAATTGGTCAACCTCTGGATCATTGCCCTAATACTCTTACAGTATTTCTTTTAGTTTTTATTTTTTGGTTTTTCGAGACAGGGTTTCTCTGTAGCTTTGGAGCCTGTCCTGGAACTAGCTCTTGTAGTTCAGAATGGCCTCAAACTCACAGAGATCCGCCTGTCTCTGCCTTCCCAGTGCTGGGATTAAAGGCATGCGCCACCACCACCGGTTTAGTATTTTTTAAAAAGAAAAAGACAAAAACTATGGTGGTAGCTCAGAACCCCTTAGTGACGTGTTGGCCTGCCAGCTTTCTAGGTAGTGACTCTTCTCTCATCTACATCACTTCCCAAGTGCTGGGCCAGTATTGAAACAAAGAAAGATGGGGTGTTTAAAGCACAGGTTCTGCTGTCATTTTAAGCTTTGTATTTTATATAGAAAAACACATTGAATCCTTTTTTTTTCCCTAGTTGAGGCTAATAATTATTTCTTCTCTAACCCCTGAAAGTATGTAACCTTTAGTTGCTGAAAGTTCCAGCTCCTTGTCTGTCTGGCTTAAGTCCCAGCAAATGGGGACATGTGTTTATCCTGACACTAGAGGGGTTCAGCGGAGTTGGCTTTTCCCCTTTAGGCTTGCCCAGTCAAAAAGTGGGGCTTGGTCATCCTGGTAGTAACAGCTTGTGTTGTTTACTGGGGTAAAAGTCACTGGTTTTCTACCTCCCACGCCCAGGTCCAAGCAGAGGGTTCAGATGTCACACCTGATGGAGTGATTTATACATTGTAACTGACCAGCCTCCTGCTGCTCTCGCTGTTGCCTTCCTTTCTGAAGGGTCTGGCATGAGCCGTGTTCTCTGTCTTTGCTGTACACTGAGCACTAACCCCAGTGTTCTTTAAAAGATACTGCTAGCAGCAGGCGTGGTAGCACGCATCTGTAACCCCAACACTTGTAAAGGCTGAGGCGAGATGACAGGCCAGCCTGAGGTGCATATTTTAACCTTTGTCTCGAAGCACTGACGCCTGTAAACACTGATGCTGGCTGGGACCGTGTTTTTCCACCTCGTAGGAAGGCTCACCGGCACATCATTAAAAAGCAAAACGAAAGCAAAGATGAGGCTTGGTTTCCATCCGCGTTCTCATTCATTTGGTATGGGGTGTGATTTGGTACTGGGATTATAGAAAATCTGGCCAGGTGATGTTATGTAAAACATTACCTGAGAAAGACCTAAGGCGGATGCGTACCTTTAAAAACCTTAGTTCCTTCTGCCTGTGTTGCTTGGACTTGCTTGTAGGGTTCTCACACTGGTTCTCAGGTTCCGAGTGCTTCAGGGAATCCTCTTGGACTTAGGGACTTTTCAGCCCTTTGTCAGACACAAGCTGGCTCCTGGACATCTTTTTAACTTGGGAAAGTTCTAGAGTTCTTTCTTCTGTCAGTCGTCCATTTGATGTCCTTTCAGAATCCTCTGGTGTAGAGTTGGATCAGGGCTCCCAGCCCCACAGACCTTTGTTATTCTCTGGACAGCTGTTTTTATTTGACGGTTCTCCCAGTGTGTTTTGGTCTTACGCAGCAGTGGGTTTCCCTGCCGTCTTCGTACATATAGGGTGCCCTTTCATGGTGTTCGCTCCATCCCTTGCTCTCTCTTTGCCCTCCCTCTTTTTTCTCTTATACTCCAAATTGTTCCCCCTTCCATTTCTTTCTTTTAAAGTCAGCCGGCACCTATAAGAGAAAATATAACACTTGGTGAGACTAGCCTGTTCCTTTCTGGTGATTTCCAGTTCTGTTCATCTTCCTGAGAGTAAGTTTGTTTTTCATTATGGCTGAGTAAAATCTATTGTGTGTATATATACCACATTGACCAAAACCTTTTTATAATAAATGTCTTATTACCGTGAGCATTAGTGAAGCAGACACTTCCAAATTGCAGATCATAGATTCCTTATCATGTTTATGTTTGTCCAAGACCCTGACACCCTACAGAGGTGGGCATTTTGTGAGGTGGGCGTTTTATTCTGTGGAAGGCTGAGTATTGCTAACAGTAGAAAAACTCCTAGTCAAGAAAGGGATCTGGCCCGGGTGGAGACCTAGCTTTCCAGCTGGGCATGGACAAGGCTTGACCTAAGAATTACCCTAGGGGTTGGAGAGATGGCTCAAAGGTTAAGAGCACTGACTGCTCTTCCAGAGGTCCTGAGTTCAATTCCCAGCAACCACATGGTGGCTCACAGCCATCTATAATGAGATCTGGTGCCCTCTTCTGGCATGCAAGCATACATGGAAGGAATGTTGTATACATAATAAATAAATAAATCTTAAAAAAAAAAAAAAAGAACTACCCCAGTAGGCACACTAACGAGGTTGGTGTAATAATTGGTCCTCCAGTGTGCCTGTGCCTCTCATCAGGAGCCTGCTGGGGCTCGGAATTAGTCAGGAAAGTGTCACTTCTCTTTTTAGTTTCCTTTTTCTAAACATGCTTTCCTTATTACCTTGAACTGCCCTGATAGTCTGTGCTTCTGTGCTCTCTCTAAAGCTCCCTGTTGCTGCTGTCTCACCTTCCCTGCTTGCTTCAACTAAATCTGTGGAGAGCTCCAGTTTGCCTGCCCTGGGGCTTTTCCGGCTTTCCTTTGGGCCTGTTTTTTTTTTTTTTTTTTTTTCTTCAAGACAGGGTTTCTCTGTAGCTTTGGAGCCTGTCCTGGTGGCTTCACCACCGCCCAACTCTGGGCCTGTTCTTAAAATCTTTTTATTAATAAGATTAAGAACCCTGCCAGGCAGTGGCGATACACACCTTTAATCCCAACACTTGGGAGGCAGAGGCAAGTGGATCTCTGAGTTCAAGATCAACCTGATTTACAGAGTGAGTTCCAGGACAACCAGGGGTACACAGAGAAACCCTGTCTTGAAAAACAAACAAATCAAAAACCAAACCAAACAAAAGGACCCCAAGAGGACACCCGGATTCCCCCCATATCAGTATCAGAGACACACTCTGTAGAATCCATATTGGGAAGTTCTTGACTTTATGAAGGTCTTTTTTTCTGACTGGTGGTGTAATCAGATCTTATGTTGGTCAGAGTCCAGTGTCTTACACTGTGTGATTATCTTATCTGGGATTGAGTAATTCATTGAGATTTGTTTTTTAATTGGGCAACAGTAAAAGATTCTCAAATGTACCGCAGTCAGAAGTGAATTCAAAACTCAATGTGCGGTGAACCCGAGGTGTGTGTGGCAGCGCTCGCCCATGCTGCGTTGTGTAGCCTTGGTTCTGATCACGTAGCATGCCACTCTGCAGTGTGCATGCCCTCGTGCTGTTTTAAACACACTGCTCGTAGTCCAAGACTATTGCATGTCGTAATTGCAGCATGTCCACCGTGCACACAGCTTTCCTGCCTATATGGTTTACTTCGGAAAACAAAGGCCTTACCGCTTTCCTGCGTGTCAAGTTAGTGTGCATTTGGATTGCTTTCTCTCCCCCTTCCTTCCTCTTTCTTAGCTGTCATTTAAATCTTCATCTGCTAAAAATACCGAGCTGGTTGCAGCCATGCCGCTTTTGAACGACCTGACCAACTCAGGGGAGTCCAGGCGCTCTTTTCATGGTGCTAAGACACACAGTGTTCTCTGCAGCTTGTGTTTGAAGATACAGAAGAGCCAGTATACATCGAAAGAAGTATGTGAATCTGAGGTCAGCCTGATGGACATAGTGAGTTCCAAGCCATCCAGGGCTACACAATGAAAGCTTGTCTCAAGTAAAACAAAAAATTGAAAGCATCTATGCTAGGAAGCTAATTTCTTGGGTAGAACTCTAGAGTAGTCCTCCTTCCTAACCCAGTATGTGCTATTTATTGCTCCATGGGCTTGGTTTTTTGCTTTGTTTTTATCTTGCTGTGTAGCCGAGACAGACTTGACGTTGCCCTGCAGCCTAGGCTGGCTTGCAGCTTGCTGTGCTGACTCTTCTTCCACGCACTGAGTTGCTGGTGTGTGCCTCTGCAGCTGATTTGTCACCTTTACGCTATTGTACTGTGTGAACCTTTAGTCATGGTCGCAAAATAGGTTATGTTTAGTTTGTTATTTCCTAGTAAATGGATTAAAATTGAGGTTATTTGTTGTCATTGCAGAAATGCAAACCTAAGGGTCCTTTCAGTAAGCCATGAAGTAGTCATGGGGAATGCACTATGGATTTTTACTTCGATATTTTTTTTCCCCTCTGGGTACTGGGTGCTTCAGTGGTCTATAAACATTATTTTTAAATTTCAGGTCTTTCCAAACTTCATGGTTGGTTTTACCTTCCCTTTCACTTGTCTTCTTTCCATGTTATGTTGGATGCTCCGTAGGGTTAATGCATTCATTCTCATCATGACCACCTTCTAGTGGCAGACCCGGATGTCGGCCCACGCCTCATTATGGACATTCTTGATAGAGAGGCATTTCAACTTTCTGTATTTGCTTTTCATCATTTCTAACTTTTATTTTGACATCCCTGTTTTTGTTTAGGACTACCTTTGTGGCCATGTTTGAACAGACAGACCGTGGAGACCTTGTGTTGTCTGTGAACCTTATGAATGACTTTAGTAGCAGATGAGAAGTTGTTCAAAGTTTATGAGTGAGGTGGCACATTTTCAGATATTCTCAATGAATTTGTATTTATTTCTAGTTTAATTTTGAAAAATGTATGTAAATGGAACTGATAGGTGATCAGGAAGCTTGTTATGTGGCAGAGAAAGTTGTCAGGGAAGATGGCTTAATAACAAATCAGAACTCTAGAACTTTCATTGTCTTGCCCATCGAGGTGATAATGGCCCCTTTGTTCTTCCTTTACAGGTCTGTCAACGCGGAGGAGGCAGCCGTGCTGAAGATGGATACACAGCACTAGGGAGCTTTTCCTTTCCGCTCAAAATTGTTTCCAGTTACTGCTTCTCAATCAAATCTGCTTGCTTCATCAGAAATGATTTTTACAATCTCAAGGAAAAATATGTCCCAGAAGCTGAGCTTCCTGTTGCTGGTGTTGGGACTCATCTGGGGTCTCCTGCTGCTTCACTACACTTTCCAACAGCCGCGACATCAGAGCAGCGTCAAGTTACGGGAGCAAATCCTAGACTTAAGCAAAAGATACGTGAAAGCCCTGGCGGAGGAGAGCAAGAGCGTTGTGGATGTGGACAGTGGAGCCTCCATGGCAGGCTACGGTAAGAACCGCGGATGTCTCCGTCTTCTCCTTTCCAGCCCGCTCCTGTGTGAGCTCAGCATCCATGTGTGCTTTTTATAAACTGGTTTTTAAAAAAACTGCAGGTATATATTTTTTGAGTGTAAAGTACGCATATAATACTCGTATATTTCTCACCCAGATTTGTTATTAATATTTCACATTTATTTATATTCTAAGTAAGTTGTAGAAATTGTGGCATTTCACTACTATATTCACCTCTTTAAAATATATATGTATAAAGTGTATTATGTGTATTTCAAAGTGAATATGTAATACAGTCTAATTGTTTATATATATTTTCCTAATTTTTCTTTTTGATTTCTCGATATAAAACATCAATGGACAATATTTATTAAGTCTCAAGAAGCAGGATTTCCTATAGTTCCAGCATTGCTCATTGCAGTCTCCCTTTCAGAGCCTAGGTTCCTGTTGTTTTAAGTTTTGCTTTGTTTTGTTTTTTGAGGCAGGATCTCTACACGGCTGTCTTGAAACTTACTCTGTAGACCAGGCTGGCCTTGAACTCACCTGCCCCTGCCTCTGGGATTAAAGGTGTATACCACCACAGTTGGCTTCCCAACTCTCCCCGCCACTGAGACAGGCTAGCTTTGAATTTACAAAGATCCATCTGCCTCTGCCTCCCAAGTTGCTGGGTTTAAAGGTGTGTGCTTCCACAGCCCCACTTGTTCTTCCTTGTAGATGAGGTGGGGAGTGAGGAATTCCAGAAGGCTGAGATGGGGAGAGTCATGAGTCTGAATGAAGCCTGCTCAATCGGTGCTGAGACTCAAACCCAGGGCCCTCAATAATGCTAGTCAAGCACTGTAAACCAAGCCATAGCCCTCGCCTGTTTTATTTAATTAATCATTTATTTTGAGGCAGGGTCTTGTGTATCCCAGGTTGGCCTTGAACTTATGATGTAATTGAATATGGCCTTAAATTTCTGATCTTTCTTCCTCTATCCCCCTAGTACTGGACTGCAGGTCTTTGCCACAATTCTTGGTGTATGTGTTATCAGACTTAGGGTTTTGCTCACTGGGTGAGCACTTTATTACCTGACTTATGTGCTCAACTCTATTTTTGAGCTAGGTTCTTGCTTTGTAAATTAGGCTGATCTTGAACCTTTCCTGCCTCCTGTGTGTCTTGGGGTTGGGCACCTGTATTAAGTTTGTTGGGTGTGTATCACTTTCTGTGCAAGCCGCCTGTCTTCCTCCAGCAGAGGTATTTCCAATCTTGAGGAAAGGCCTTGCTCACAGCAGGGATCATAACTGCTGTGAGTCAAGAGTACAATAGCTTGTCATTCCCAGGTCACTCTCATGTTCTTTCTGCCCTTCTGTGGTATTTCCTGAGCTGTGGAGGATGTGTAGATACCCTGTTTATGGTCCCCACATGAAAAAGAAAAGGCCAGCAATGGCAGAGCACACCTGAAACCCCATTAGGAAGGTGGAATCAAGAGGATCCCTGGAGCCTACTGGCTAGTCAGTCTAACTGGATTGGCAGATTCTAGGTACAGTGTGAGATTCTGTCTCAGAAATGAGCCAAGGTTGAGCATAAGTGGCTGTCGAATTGCTCAGCCATGAATTGGGCATCTCTATCCCCTTAGCCCTTTGCTCTTTTGGGGCAAGGTTTTGCTTTGTAGCTCAAGCTAGCCTTGAACTCAAGATTCTTCTGCCTTAACTTCCCAAGTGCTGGGATTATAGGCATGTATCCTAGTGTCCAGCTTTATTTATCTCTGTACAATGATATATATTCTTTTCTGGGGGAGCTAATATTGATTGCCTTTTTTGAAAATTGTCTTAGGGTTTTATTACTGTGTACACCATATAAAGGAAAAAGAAAGCATTTAGTTGGTGCTGGTTCACTGTTTCAAAGGTTTAGTCCATTGTCATTATGGCAGAAAGCATAGTGGCAGACAGTGCTGGAGAAAAGCCGAGAGTTCCACACCTGGGTCTGTAGGCAGAAGGAAGAGAGAGCCACTGGGCCTGGCTTGGGTATTTGAAACCAAACCCAAAGCACACCCATGGTGACACACTCCTTCCAACAAGGCCACGCCTCCTCCAACAAGGCCACGCCCACTCCAACAAAGCCTCCCTTCCTATTACCATATCATTTCATAATCGTTCAAATATGAGTCTGTAGGGCCATTCTTACTTAGACCATCCAAAAGTAGATTTTTTTCAAGCAATATATTCTTATGGTTTTCCCTCTCCTAGTTCCTTCATACTCTCCTCTCAATTTGGATCCATATATTTTCTCTCATTAGAAAACAGATAATCTAAAGACTAGTAATAATATGATAAGTCAAGAACAAACAAAACAGAATATGACAAAACAACCAAACAAGAAGAGCCAAAGAAAAGAAAGCATAAGAAACATATATAGACACATACACATTTGCACACATGGGAATCCTATAAAAACAACACCAAAGCTGAGCATAGTGGCTCACACCTTTAAACCCAGAAACTTGGGAGGCAGAGGCAGATGGATCTTTGTAAATTCAAAGCCAGCCTGGTCTACATAATGAGTTCCAGGACAGCTAGGACTACATAGTGAGACTCTGTCTGGAACAAAACAAAACATAGTGACCCTGATCCCCCAACAAAACCAGAAGCCATAATATATTTGCAAAGGACTCGTAAGTTAAAAAAAAAAAATGCCCTGACTTAACATTATGAGACTTGGAACCTCCAAAGGCTCTGTTGAGTTTGTTTTCTGTTGGCCATCTATGCTGGACGTGGGGCCTACTCTTAAGAGTAGTTTGCTTGGAAGGCAGAGGCAGGTAGATCTCTGTGAGTCAAGGCCACTCTGGTCTACAAAGTGAGTTCCAGGATAGCCAGGGCTACACAGAGAATTCCTGTATAGACAAACAAAAAAAAAAAAGAAAAGGAAAAAGTAGTATTCCCCAGTGAGACTCCCTTGGAGAAAAATTAATTTACAAGTGGCTATCAGTTAGAGATAGCTTCTGGGTAAGGAATGGGGGTACGGGTGCTCTAGAACCCTGTCTGGTGCAGATCCATGCAGGACCTGGGCATGCTACCTCATTCTCTGTGAGTTCTTATGGGCATTGGTCCTGCTGTGGTTGGGTGTTGATTCCTTGATTTCGTCCATTCCCTCTCGCTCTTAACTCTTTCTGCCTCCTCTTCTGCAGGGCTCCCTGAGCTGTGGTGGGAGGGATTTGATGGCAGTAAACTGTTTAGGTCTGAGTGTTCCAAGGTCTCTCACTCTCTGCACAGTGTCTGGCTGTGGGTCTCTTCTGTGGGTCTGGCTGTTGTTCCCACCTGCTGCAGGAGGAAGTTTCTCTGATGATGGCTGAACAAGGCACTGATCGATGAGTATAGCAGAATGTTTTTAAGAGTAATTTTAGGGGCTGGAGAGATGGCTCAGAGGTTAAGAGCACTGCCTGCTCTTCCAAAGGTCCTGAGTTCAATTCCCAGCAACCACATGGTGGCTCACAACCATCTGTATGGGGTCTGGTGCCCTCTTCTGGCCTGCAGGCATACACACAGACAGAATATTGTATACATAATAAATAAATAAATATTTAAAAAAAAAAAGAGTAATTTTATTGGTATGTTCTTTTTGTAGAGCAATTGGTATTTGGTTTTCCCCTAGGTCTCTGGCCTGTCTCGTCTCAAGTTCTTGGTCACCCAAGCAGCGACAGGGATGGGCTCCATTCCATGGAGTGGGCCTTAAGTCAAATCAGATGATAGTTGGTTACCCCCACAAGCTGGTGCCACCATTGCACGAGCACATCCTGCAGCCAAGTCACCATTGTAGATCAAAGGCTTTGTATTTACCCCTCCTTTGGTAGTATCCAGGCATTTTTTTTTTTAAGTCTAGGTTCAAAAGTCCCCATAGTCTATCACAGTCTTAACAGTGTTTAAAAGTTCAAAGTTCAAAGTCTCTTCTGAAATTCATGCAATCTCTTAACTGCAATCTCCTGTAAAATCAAAATAAAAAATAGATTATATACTTCCAACATACAACAGCACAGGATATATATTGCCATCTAAAACATAGGGAAGGGGGCATAGTGAGGAAATATTGGACCAAAACAAGACCAAAGACGACCTGGGAAAACTTCAAACTCTGCATCTCCATGTCTGATATAGAAACACTCTTCAGTTCTCCAGCTGTGTTCAGTTTTGTTGACTGCAACACACTTCCTTCTCTTGGGCTGAGCTGATTCCGCTTCCTGTTAGCAGCTCTCCTCGGCAGGTATCCCACAACTCTGGCCTCTCTCATCTTGGGTTTTCCAAGGCAATCCAGGCTTCAACTTCATAGCTTCACACAATGGCCTCTCTACTAGGCCTCCATTCAGAGACACCCCTGACACTGCCTGGCCTCAGCGGCTTTCTTTAGGCACTGAGGCACATTCCATAACCCATTTCTTCTATCCTTAACTCCAAAGCCAGAACCACATGGTTGAAGTTGCCAAGTTCCACTTCCTGGGGCTGGAATATGGCCCCTCATACAGTTACATTTTCACCAGCTTTCTGTCCTTCACTGCCTAAGCTTGGCTGTCTTGAAACTTGCCCTGTAGACCAGGTTGGCCTCAAACCCAGAGATCTGGTAGCCTCTGACTTCACAATGCTGAGATTCAAGGTATGCCCCACCAAACCTGACTCTAAGTTTTTCTTTGTTTCTTTCCACAAGTGGGAAACTTGGCTGGGTGGGATCTTGCCCTGAGGTTAGCACTCACTTTATCTCTTTGAACACAGGACTTAAGCTCCATTCCACTTCTCTGTGCTATGTCTTTAATCCCAGCACTAGGGAGGCAGAGGCAGGCGGATCTCTGTGAGTTTGAGACCAGCCTGGTCTACAGAGCTAGTTCCAGGATAGGCTCCAAAGCCACAGAGAAACCCTGTCTCGAAAAACCAAAAAAAAAAAAAAAAAAAAACCAAAAAAAAAAAACCAAAAAAACTTACATTTTGTATTTTCATATAAATCTTTATAATCAGGAACACTAGTAACTGCATGAGT